TAGTACCAATGGCCTACAGTAAAGTTTCTTAGATTTCTGTAATACTAGTTTAGAAGTGCTTTCTCCACCACAATCTTACAAAGTAGATAATAAAAAAAAAGCTGTTATCCCCATTTTACAGATAAGAAAACTGAGCTTCAGAAAAGGTAAGTTACTTGACCAAGGTGACATAGCCAGTGAGAGAGCTAAGAAAGGAACCCAAATCTGGCTCCAATGTCCAAACTGATGAAAAGTCCAATTTAATTTTGTGGAAGATCCTTGATGTTTTAACAGCCTGTATGCTACTCCCTAGACCTGGGCAGATCACAACTCTTCCATACTCTCATCTTCTGAGATTCTTATCTACATATGTCTTTCTATAAATCCTCGACAAGATCAGTTTAATTTGCCAGGGGCCTTCCTCTGCTTCCTTTAATATCTGTGGGGTAGCCCTTACACTTTTAGTGTATTTCTCCATGCTCCGGCATGACTTTTTATTACTCTGTATATATATTTGGTATATTATATCTGTATACATGCTATTTCCTCTGGTAGAGTGTTAGCTCCTTATGGGCACATACTGTTTTGTTTTGGCTTTTGTATCCATGCATGATTCTCGGTAAAGAGGTTATTGACCTTCTTTTCAAATTTAATTTAGTTTAACAAGTATTTATTGAGTGCCCACTACGTAGTAGGCCTAACCTAGGCTATGGGGATAAGCAGCCGTAAACACTACTACAGCTGCCCTCTCCCAGGAGAAAGAAGTACACAGATAAGCGTATACAAAATCTATACTGGGCGGATACAAAGTAATTTGGGGGCTAGGAAAATGTGACTCACTCAAGGGATCTGGAAACACCTCTTGCAGTAGATAGTACCTGAGCTATGCTTTGACGGAAACTAGGGATTTTCAGGTAGAGGTGGGAGAGCACACTAAGCATAGGAAACAATCTAGGCAAAACCACAGAGGCTGGACATAAATGGCACGTACAGGGAATGAAAAGTTACCCCCTGCAGGTGGAATCCAAAGTACGTGAGGGGAATAATGAATCTTGTACAGTCAATGCCTAATACTTGTTCAGTTGTTTTTCAGTCATACTCTTTGTGATCACTTTTAGGGTTTTCTGGGCAAAGATACTGGAGTGGTTTGACATTTCTTTCTCCAGCTCATTTCACAGATGAGGAAATTGAGGCAAACAGGGTTAAGTGACTTGTCCAGGTCACCCAGCTAGTATCTGAGGCCAGATTCGGACCCAAGTCTTAATGACTTATTGTGCCCTTCACAACAACCATCAGGCATAAGTAATCATTGGTAAAATGATGCATCCTGTTTATACCCACATGTAGTCTGCCCTCTGGGGTACCTGTAATTCAGATTCTTCTAAAAATCCATCAGTTGCAGATGTATGGCATCCCTAAGAGGATATCATAGCAAAATTTTTTAAAACAATCATTTCTCTTAAGTGTAGCAATCTAAGTAGCTTAGCCAAGCTTTATTTAACAAAAACCCTGCAAGCACCACTGAATTGCAGCAGCTTCTACCTACTTCTGAAAGTGAATATAAGCATGTTAATGATGCCTAAAGTACTTGAAAAGAAGTTCACTAAAAATGAAGGAGGATTACTACAAAGTAGTAATCATAAAACTATTTGGTACTGGTTAAAAAACACAAAAGTAGATCAGTAGAACAGCCTAAATAAGTAAGAATCAACAATTTAATTCATTAATCCAGTGTTCAATAACTTCAAGAATATAAACTGCTTAGGGAAAAACTCCTTATTTGACAAGACCTGCTGGGAAAACCAGAAAGGAGTTTGGCGGAAATTGGATTTTAACTATGCTACAACAGGCTCACAATCTAAAGGCAAAGTGAATAAAAAAAAAAAAAAAGGAAATCAGTTACTTTACACAACTACCACCAGGGGAGAATTTATAACCAAAGAATTGAGGTGACCACAAAAGATAAAATGAATACATGCAATTACATGAAATTGAAGAGCTTTTGCAGGAACAAAATCAATGAAGCTGGAATTAGAAAGGAAATTGTCAATTGGGGAAAAAACTTTGCATTAAACATTTCTGCTAAGAGTCTGATATCCAAGATACATAAGGAACTAACACAAATATGTGAATCCAAAAGCCATTCCTTAATGGATACTGATCAAATGATATGAACAAACAGCTCCCAAAAGAATAATTGCAAATTATTAACACTTTGAAAAATTGATCAGAATCACTAGTTACAAGAAAAATGCAAATCAAAATGACTCAGATTTCATTTCACCAGCCAATTGACAAAGATGATAAAAGATGGGAACAGTCAATATTATATGGTCTGTGGGAAAACAGGCACATGAATACCCTGTTGGTGGAGCTGTGAAATGGTCTAACCTTTTTGGTGGTGCTATAATTGGTCTTATCATTCTAGAAAACATTTAAAGTATGTTCAAAAAGTTACTAAAATGTCCATATCCTTTTACCTGGAGATCTCATTGCTAGGCATATGCCCCAAGGAGGTTCAAAGACAGAAAGGTCCCATAAAAAAACTAGAAATAAAATAGATGCTCATTGACTGAGAAAGGATTAAACAAATTATGACTTAAATAGTACTAAATGTAAAAGAATATTACTACACCCTAAAAAATGACAAATATAAAGAATTCTGAGAAGCATGGAAAGACAAACTGAGGCAAATGCAGGAAGCAGAACCAGGAAAACAGTATCTAAATCACTATAATAGTCTAAATGGAAAGAACAACAGTAACAACCAAACTGAATTCTATGTAATTAAAATATCCAACCGTGGCCCTGTAGAAAAATTGAAAAAGTAAAGCTTCCTCCTTTCTTTGCAAAAGGTGTGAAAGGGTTTGGAATATGCTATTCAACACAGTTGACAGATTGGTTGGTTTGGCTGACCTGCTTTTTTCCCCCTTTTTAAAAAAAATCTTTGTTAAAAGAGATGGCTCACTGGTTAGGGGATGAACGAGATATAAGAACAAAACAAATTTTTAAAAAATTTTAAATAAGTTTATTCTCTTTGTGAAGATAATGAAGCCATTAGTTAGAAAGACTTATTTTCATTAACACACCTCCCTCTGAGGTCATTCTACTTTTCCTCACCTCACATAGCTGGGTGGTGCAGCAGGCAGTATTAGTGCTGGACAGGGAGTCAGGAAAACCTGAGTTCAGACTCTGTTTCAGACATTTGTTTAGCTGTGTGACACTGGCCAAGTCACTTAACTTTTTGTGCCTCAGTTTCTCTATCTGTAAACTGGGAACAACAGCACCTATTTCACAAAGTTGTGAGGATCAAATGAGACAACATAAGTAAAGCACTTTGTGCAAACCCTGAGCGCTTTATAAATACAAGTTATTCTTTATTATTATTATTGTTGTTATTATTATTATTATTGCCATTTGAAGTAATCTGATGGGATGAGAAGAACCACAGGCTGCAAACACCAACCTATTGTGTAACCTTAGGGAATAGGGGAGGCAGGGAATAAACATTTTGATAGTGCCTACTATATGCCAGGCACCATGCTAAGTGATTTACAAATATTACTGCGTTTGATCTTCACAAGCAGGTGCTGTTATTATCCCTATTTCACAGTTGAGGAAACTGGGGCAAACAGGTTAAATGATTTGCCTAGGGTCACAAAGCTAGAAAGTACTGAGGGTAGATTTGAACATTAGTCTTCTAGAGACCTAGCCCTCTATCCACTACTGCTCCACCTAGCTGTCACCTTTGGTCAGTCACTACCCTTCTGCCCCCCTTTCCAACTGGGCCTCAATTTCTTAAACTCATTAATTGAGTATACAGATCATATCACTGTAGTGGTGTCCCCAGAGCCTACCTAACATACTGACTGGCACAGAGCAGGAGCATGCTTAATACTTGCTGATGTATTGATATCTATACTTGCATACCTAGAGCAAGTGCTGCTGTAGACTCCTTACAAACTGAAAACGACTCAGTGCTCAAAGGCTATAATTGCAGGGTGGAAGCTCAGGAAGATCCTACCAAACCCAAAAAGCCTTTAGTAGAAATCAGTCATCTGTGGACCCAGGGACACACTCCTTCTCCTCACCCTGGGCATTTTCACTAGTTCTTCCCTAAGTCTAGACCTCTGTCCCTCATCTCCACCTCCTGGCTTCCCTTTCTTCAAGTCCCAGCTAAAATTTCACCTTCTTCACAAAGCTTTTCTTCATCTCCTTTTAATGCCTGTACCTTCCCTCTACTAATTATCTCCAATTATCCTGTATACAGTCTGCTTGTACATAGTTGTTTCATGTTGTCTCTTCCATTACACCGTGAGGTTCTTGAGATCTGGGACTTTTCACCTTTCTTAGTATTCCTAACACTTAGCACAGTGTCTAGCACATAACAGATGATTAATAAATGCTTGTGGACTTGACCAGCCTAGCTAAATCTCATAAAGCCTCATCACCGGCCTACCCACTGAATCAAAAAAAAGAAGTCAACCTGCAAGGTGAAAGCGCACACCCATACCGAGAAGTGACTATCCACTAAGTAGAATGGTTCCATCATCTACATCACAGGGTGATTGAGCAGGAAAATGTCCTGCAAACCCTCAAGTTCTATAGAAATATGCGTTACCATTCCATTGGCTGACCTGTATACACGCTCCCATAAAGAACAGGGCTCAGCTCCCACCCTGAAAAGCTCCACGGAGCTCCGGTTAGTTCATTTCAAACACATGGAGTCATATGACTGGGGACACCACGTGACTGAGGATGCTGCTCCAAGGTCTGATTGGCCCTATCCCAGTACCTCCGGGACTCCGTTTCCCAGAAACCCCAGAATGCCGTAGCCTCCATCTTGCCTAGAGACTACGTTTCCCAGAGAGCATTGCAAAGCTTCCGGCCTCGGGCCTCGATGGTGGGGCAGGGGAATTAAAGGAGGGATTGCCCTATTTTTGGTGAATAAGGAAGAGCTGAAACTACTAAGGGCAGATAAGGCAGAGACACTGAAAAATTCCCATATGAAATCAAATCACCTAAGGGCCCGAGGATAAGCCGAACTACTTGCGTCATTCCAGCAATAAAGAACGGAAAAGTCAAAGAAGCCGTTGGGAAATGAAGTAAGACCCTAATGGCGAAAGCCCCGAGACCTTCTGGGAAACCGAGTCCACTGAGAGCCCGAGTTCCCTGTCCCCAGCAGTTTGCGTTGTTCATTTTAGCCAATCAGATGCTGAGTTTCCGTCACGCGGTTACGACGCACGTGGTGGTATTAGTCATGTGATTCTATGACAACTACAAACTTCAACTAAAAAGACTTCAGAACTTTCTCAGTTTGGCCCATTCCTTGGAGAGGCCAAACTGAGGGACAGGGCAGTGGACTGAGGTGCAAAAGGTCAAACTAGAAAGGCAAAGACTGAAGGACCAGCAGGGAAGGTAGGGCTGGAGAGTAGGTCAAGGACTATGAGGTAGCAGAGGCAGGCTAGGAAAGTTAAGGATAAGGAAATTCCCTCCACTAGGGCAGATTAGCATCTTGTTTAGAACCGAGAGAAGTTAAGTGACTTAACCGTGGTCATAGCCAGTAAGTAGCACAGGCAAGATCCAAGTCTTCCTGGCTCTCAAACTTTTAGGCAAGGCAACTGCAGTCTGCCCCAGTTTTCCTCAGCTGTAAAATGGAGACAATAATAGCATCCCACATGGGGTTTTCGTAAGGTTGTTATATGTATTGTCTCCCTCCCTCTCAATGCAGCTCTTCATCCACTTCACCATACTGAATCTGGTGGAGTTGGGCCGGATAGGCTGCAAAACCTGGGAGGCTGAAGTCAGAGAACTGTGATATAGCATGGAAATAGAACTATAACTGAGAAGGAAAAGAGAGCAATGAAGAAGGGAAAAGAAAGATATGGTGATGTATGAGCATGAGCTAGGAAAGGTCAGAATATGGCATATACACCAATAAGTAAGTACAAGGTAAGTTGTGGAGGAAGAAAGCATTAACGACTAGTATAAAACAGGAAAGGCTTCATAGAAAGATTGCACCTGAGCTGCATATGGAAGGAAGATAATTTTGTGAGGCAGTGACAAAAGAGGGTCTGCATTTCATGCATGGGCTTATGCAGATGCATAGATTTGGAAGATGAATGACAAATTTGAGGAATTGGCAGAAATCTGGTTTGGCTGGAAGAAGAGTACATGAATGGGAATAGTATGACATAAGACTAGTTAGGTACCTTGGAGTAAAATCATAGAGGGCCTGAAGTGCCAAGCTTAGGCATTTATAGACTACAGGCCATAAAGAGCTACTAAAGCTATTTGAGCAGGAAAGTAATGTGATCTAAGCTGTGCCTTGGAAAGATTATTTTGACAACCATGTGAAAGTTTATATGAAGAAGAAAAAGAGTGGAAGCAGGAGGCCAGTTAGGCAACAGTACAATACTTCAAGCAAGATATGATGAGGATCTGAACTAGAGTGATAACTTCAAGTAGAGAAAAGTGATATAGTAGTGATGTGGAGTTAAAATTGTTGACAATACTTGGCAATTGAATGTATGTGAGAAATGGTATATATATTTCTACTTAATCCACCCCAAATAGAAAGCATCATGAACTCACACCCAAGCTCTAAGTAGCTAAAACAAATTTCCCTCCTTTTCCAGGGATCTCTACTACCTTAGTGATCTGTGCAGTGTTCATCTTGAGCCCTCTGAATACACGTTTCTAGGAGTGAGGATTAGCTAGGATATACAAAAGCAAATCCAACTCTATTCACTTTCCAGAACTTCACTCCCACATAAGCAAATAACTGCTAATCATCCCTGCCTGGATTCCGTGGTAGGATCCATATCCTAACCCTGCCCACCTGTTAATTAGTTTTTTCTTAAAAGGTATTAAAACCATCCTCAAGATTTGGTTGGCTCAGGGAGCTAGAGGCTCAAGCTACTGACATCATTTCCTGGTCTCCTGAGTAACAAAGATTCATGAGCTGCTCCAGGTACTCCGATGTTTGGCTGGTGGACCATCGTGTGCACTCTGGTAGGGAAGCTTCACTCAACTGAATCAACTCAGGGTTTCCTCACTGTATATCGTTGTAAAACATCCTTCTGCTATGGCTAAATAAATCTCCTTTTGTTAAAGCTAGAATGAGTTCCAAATATCTCACTTCATTTCTGTATCAAAAATAAACTACCAGGTGACTGGTCTGAGTCAGGCCCAGATCAACACAAATGTGCCATTGGCATTTGGAACAACATGTCCAAAACAGCATTCATCTTTCTCTCTGAATTCATCCATCCTGCAAACTTCCCTATTTCCTTTGCAGGAAGATCATAGAATCGCAGACTAGATCTGGAAGGTAATCTGTCTGGGAGTTCTGATCTGATTAAGCGCATAGGAGAGCTCTAAACCAAATGGCTTAAGAGATTTGAGGAGGTCAATATCACTTACAACTAGGATGCTCAGTAAAGGCTTCATTAGGTGAAATACATTCAAATTCTGAGTCTACAAGTTACTAACTCTGTTACTAATGACAAGTCACTCAATTCAGAACTTCAGTTTCCTTATCTGTAAAATGGAAATAATAATATAAAGTGCATTCTTTTAGAATGTATGTGGTTGGTATTATTCTGCTCCTGTATTAGCTTTTTCTTCCTCTGGATCTCTTCTATCTAAACATTTGTTTTGTAATCCATATAACTCCTTATTTTCTGCATCACTAAATTTCTTCCACTGGGTTCTCCCACCAGTGGCCCCTCTCAGCCCAGGTTTACTGCTGTGAAAGTCAGTGTGGCCATTAGGCAAACATGAGCAGAAAATTGAAAACCAAATGTCTTTGCTGCCATCTAGTGCCCAAGAGATGAAAATCCATCATGGTTTGGAACAAGAAAGTGTTCCTGAGCCACCTTTATGAGAAAAAGCACTACAGATTTCCTTTGGTTTGCAGAATCAATAGGCATTTTCTGGAAAATGAATACTATTTTCTGATTCATGCCCATTATAAACTCATACATCTTTCATTGCTGGAATAAAATAAGCCTTGTCTTTCAGAGATCCAACTGTGCATCTTGTAGAGGAAGGGATCTAAGACTCTGAGGGGGGGAAGTGAATTTGTCCTAGGCAATATTTAAGAAGCAGAAAGCTGTTTAAAATAACCTACTAAAGAAAAATAAACCATTTGTAATAGAAAAGACTTAAGCATTGACACTCAAAATATTACCAAATCAATTGAGCATTTATTATTAAGTGCCTTCTACAGGCCAGACGCAATACTAGGTGATAAGAGTCACAAAGATAAAATGTATAGTTCCTTCAAATAACTTATATTATAATGATGGTGTGTGCTGTATGTCATAAAACAAAAAGAGCAAAGGTTAAAATATACTATAATACTAACTCTCTGGCCTGTGACTAAACATTATAAAGAGATATTTACCACATAATATTAATAAAATTCATTTGGAGGAACAAAAGTTCTAGGATCTCAAGATATATAATGAAAAAATTAAAAATGAAAGGGAAAAGCACTTCTAGACTTCATATTACACTATAAAGCAGTAAGCATTGTAAATATTTGCTGCTGGCTAAAAATAGAAAAGAATATCAGTGGATCAAACCAGATAAGAATCAGAAAAAACTAAACTCGATAATTCAGTGTTAATAAACTCAAAAACATAAATTTCTTGGAGAAAAACCCTTCTGGAACAACTAGAAAGTAGTTTGGAAGAAGTTAGGTTTAAACCATCTTACACCATATACCACAAGAAGTCAAAATGGATACATGATCTAAATATAGGTATGACAAAGATCATACCATAAAAATATAGAAGAGAAAGAAATTGGGTACCTTTCACAGCTATATATAAGGGAAGATTTATTACCCAAACAAGTGAGAGATAAATAAGATAAAATAGACAACTTGAATTATATAAAATTAAATTGCTGCAATAACAAAATACAGCCAGGATAACAAGGGAAGCTTTTTATTGAGAATAAAATCTGCCTCAACTATCTGTGTCTGATATCAAAAGACATAAATGTATAAGACCAAGAGCCATCCCTCAGTGAGTCAAAGCCAGTCAATGTATGATATTTATCCATAATAAATAACAAGCATTTATTAAGCACTTACTATGTGCCAGTCACTGCACTAAGCATTAGAGGCACAAAGAAAGGTCTAAAGGAGCTTACATTCTTTTTTAAATTTTTTAATTAAATTTTTAATTCATGAGTTTACATTCTGATAGTAGAAATGTGTAAATAACTAAATACACCCATGATACATAAAGGGTAGATGAAAGGAACTCTCAGAAGGGAAAGCACTAGCACCTAATAGAAGGTGGGATTTGAACTGAATCTTAAAAGAAATCCAAGGAAACTAAAAGGTGGAGGAGGTAAAGGAGAAGAGCATCTTAGGCATGTCACAAAGCCAGTACAAGGGCACCAAAATGGGAGGGTTATGTCTGAAGAAAAACAAGCAGGCCAGTATAGCTGGATTGTGGAGTAAGTGAAGGATGATACAAAGTGTAAAAAGATCGGGAAAGGAAGAAGGGAGTAGGTTGTTAAGGGCATTAAAAGTCAAACAGATGAGTTTATATTTGATCATGAAGGTAATAGGGAGCCACTAGAGGGCCAGACCTAGGCTGAAGTAGAGGATGAATTGGAGTAGGCAAAGACTTGAGACAAGGAGACCAATTACAAGGCCTTTGGCAATGGTCTAGGTGAGAGGTGATGAGGACCTGAACCTAGGATAGTGGCTGTGTGAGACGACACAAGAGCTAGTGTACAGGAGATGTTGTGAAGGTCAAGATTTGGCAATGGATGAGACTGAAGATTTGAAGATGACATTGAAGTTGCAGCCCTGAGTGACTGGGTAGGTGGTGATACCCTTGACAGTGATCAGGAATCTCAGAAGAAGGGAAGATCTGGCCGGCAGAATAATGAAGACTTCAGAGAATGAATAGCAACAAAAGTAGATTGTTGTTGTTGTTGTTAGATCCTATACAGAGAGTCCTAACTGGGACAAAGCAAGAAGGGCACACTTACCAGTGAGGGAAAAGCTGGAACAGTCATCATGACTGAGACCAATAAGCAGTACTTGAAGCTAGCCAT